TTAAGAGTAGGTTAGATAAATGTCTATCAGGGATGGTCTAGACAGTAGTTGGTCCTGTCATGCGGGCAGGGGACTGGACTCGATGACCTCTCGAGGTCCCTTACAGTCCTAGAATCTATGAATCTAAGACCTTGGTCCCCATGGAGCAAGACCACTGCAGAGACTTCACGTCCCATGCTGCTATAGCTGAGGCTCCAATCTCTCTCTATACCAATCCTGTGCCCAGGGTCCAGGCTCAGCAGAGAAAAAAGAGTCATTGGTCATCTTGCCTAGTTTGAGTATGGCAATGACTATTGCCTCCTGCCAGGCTTTTGGGATGCATCTGGATTCCATGGGTTTGATGTACAGTTTCACCAGCCATTGGAGTCCCCTGCGACCTAGTTGATGAAGAAATTCTGGGGGGGATACCATCTCTGCCAGCCACCTTCCCTTTCTTCATTGTGGCTAAGCCTTCTTTCACTTCATCTGTACTGATGGTGATGAGGTCTTGTGGAAGGTTTGAGATCATTGTCCGATGTAGTTGACGATGGATCTCTCATTTGGAGTTTTTGTCGAACGAGCCTTTTCTGATCTCCACCAATTTGGAGGCTAGGGAGTGACCTTTTTGAGGTCCGATATTCCGTTGGATTAGCAGCTCTGAGATGTCACAAGATTATGTGAAAAGATATACCAATGGTGGTATTGTGAAAAATTAACAGTAAGAGTGATTTTTTGCTTACAAGATACCAGGTAGTCAAATTTTTTTAACACACAGCCTAACCGCAGGATGCACTGTGTTGGTAAATGCTAATGAGGTAGAGTCAAAACCATATTATAAAAAGAGGGTGCCCATATTAGGAAACTTGCAAAAAGATTTTTTTTTATCAATATAAAAGGCGAGAGCCCTGTGGACTTCCAAGGAGTTTAGTCTGGATTGTCTATGGTCTGTATGTGGTTTCGGAAAAATGTAGGTAAGTATATAGGTTAAGGTGAAAGGATGAAGCCACCTTAGGCAAAAATTTAGGATGAGGTCTGAGAGATACTTTATCTTTAAAAAAGATCATATAGGGTGGGTTCGTCATGAGAGCAGCTAGTTCTCCCACCCGCCTGACAGATGTAATGGCCACTAGAAATGTAACCTTCATAGAGAGGTGTAGTAATGAGCTTGTAGCTATGGGCTCAAAAGGGGGCCTGGTGAGGGCATGGAGGACTAGGTTGAGGTCCCATGGTGCAGCTAGTTTTCTCACTTCTGGATAGGAGTTGGAGTGACCCTTTAGGAAGCGTTTCGTAATCGGATGCGTGAAAATAGAGAATCCATCAACTTTATGATGAAATGTGCTGATGGCTGACAGGTGTACGTGGATGGAACTCATGGAAAGTCCCATTCATTAAATTTCCAGTAGATAGTCTAAAATAAGAGGTAAGGAGGCTAACACAGGTGCAGTCTGTTTGAGTTGGCACCATGATTTGCATCATTTTCACTTATGTCTGTATGTGCGTCAGGTAGTTGCCCTATGGCTGTTTAATAATATGTTCTGAACTTCTGTGGAACATGTCATTTCAGATCCCAAGAACCATGTAACGACCAGGCTTTGAGATGAAGTTTTTTGGGGATCTGGATGGATGATGCAACCTGCATCCTGAAAAAGAAGGTGAGGCAGAAGCGGGAGTGTGCGTGGGGTTCAGACCAACATGTGGAGAAGGTAAGGGTACCACATTTGTTGCATCCATGTGGGAGCTATTAGGATCAGTCTGGATACGTCTTGTTTTATCTTGTGGAGAACATGGGCTAGGACAGGGGTGGGGGAAAAGGCGTACATGAGGAAGGCATCGCCCAGAGAGTGTTGACCGAGTCCTGCTCTGGAGCAGAACTGGGGGCATTTGGAGTTTTGTGTAGTTGCGAAGAGGTCTGTCATTAGGAACCCCCACATCTGGAAACTATCACGGCTGATCCGTGGTTCAGCTCCCATTCGTGGTCTTGATAGAACTTCCTGCTCAGGGCATGTGCCATGTTGTTCTGGCAGCCAGGTAGTTATGAAGCTATAACATGGATGTTGTGTTTCATGCACTGCTTCCACGCATACGGAGTGTGACCGAGCTCCCCCTTGCCTGTTTATGTAGAACATAGTGGCTGCATTGTCCATGAGGATCTGTACCATTTTGTTTTGGTTTAGTGGTAGGAAATGAGAACAGGCATTTCGAATCACTTGTAGTTCCAGCAGGTTGATATGAAGCTGGGACTCTGTTGGAGACCAGCAGGCCTGTATAGAATGTATCTGTAGATGTGCCCCCCAGACTAGGAGGGATGCATCCATGGTGATGGTGAGCGCTGCTGGATTCTGCAGAAATGGCATGCCCCTGCAGACATTGTCTGGATTGATCCACCATAGCAGGGAGTCCTTGACTGTATTGAGAATGGTGAGGAGTTTGTTTATGGTGTGCCTGTGGGGAGCATAATTTGTCCGTAACCAGGCTTGCAGACACCACATGTGTAGCCTTGCATGTTGGACGATGAAGGTCATGGCAGCCATGTGGCCTGGGAGTTGTAAGCAAGTTCTGGCAGACACCTGCGGGCTGTTCCGCACTGTTGAGATTAAGGCAGTTAGAGTCAGAAAGCGTTTTGTTGGAAGAGAGCCAGTTGCTACGAGGAAGTTGAGGCCTGCCCCAATGAATTTCACGTGTTGAACTGGTGTTAGGGTGGACTTTTATAAGTTTATTTGAAGTCCTAAAGAAGTAAAGAGCTGTATCGTACATTGAGTGGAATCTATGACTGGCTGCAGTGTTGGTGCTTTCAGCAGGCAGTCGTCCCTTTCTGTTTAGGTAGGCTGCTACTACGGCAAGTACTTTGGAAAATACCCGCAGTGCAGTGGAAAGGCCGAAGGGAAGAACTATGTACTGAAAGTGGTCCTGTGCTATTGTAAACTGCAGAAATTTTCAATGTGCAAGATGGATAGATATATGAAAATATGCGTCCTAGAGGTCGAAGGCTGAGAACTAGTCCCCCCCTCTCTAATGCTGGGATTATGGTGCTTAGCATGACCATTTTAAATCTTTGTGTTTTTACAAAATTGTTGAGTCGCCGTAGATCAAGAATAGGTCTCCAACCTCCTTTTTTTTTCTGTGTGAGAAAGTAGTGAGAATAGAAGCCCTTCCCTCTGTACTCGGTTGGTACGGGTTCTACTCCTCCAAGGATATGAGATGGTTCACCTCTTCCTGCAGTAGGTGTTCGTGAGAGGGTTCCCTGAAAACTGACAGGGAAGGGGAGTGGATAGGGGGGGTTGCAGGTAAGGGGGATGGAGTAACCGGTTTTGATGATTTCTAATACCCATCTGTCCATGGTGATGGACTGCCACATGGGGTAGAATGGAAGTAGGCAATCTCCAAAATTTTTGCCAGTGGTAGATGGTGCCAGCACTGAGATGGGATTCTTGAGCCCTCGACAGAGGTGTCAAATCTGTTGTCTAGAGGTTGATGGCTGAGAGGTAGTAGTCGAGGCAGTGGATTGCCTTCTCCTTAAGGTTTTCTATTTCCGCCTGTAGTGGGGTGGCTGCCCCACTTCCTGAGATTATGGGCTGCGGCAGGCCAGTGGGCCTGCGCAGACGCACAGCCAATCAGAGAAGGGCTTACTGGGTGCCAATCAGGGCCCAGGTTGGAGACAGCCAATCAGGGCCAGGCTCAGCCCTATAAAGACTGCACAGGGAGAGAGCAGTCAGTCTGTCCCAGGCCTTTGAGAGGGGAAGGTCTATCTCCAAACTGGGAGACTAGCACCGCGGCCAGCACAGTGCTGGCCAGGCTCAGGGAGTAGAGGGGAGCTCTAGCCTGAGGCCTGCCAGGCTGCAGGCCCTGAGTGGAAGGGCCTAGCGTGTGCAAGGGGCCGTAGGGGAAGCAGCCCAGGGAAGCGGACAGACGAGGGGAGAGTAGGAGGACAGCGAGGCTGCCGCCAGAGCGTCCCTGGGTCGGGACCCAGAGTAGAGGGCGGGCCTGGGTCCCCCGCATCCTCTTGCAGTACATCTAGCCATTGGCCGTAAGGAGCGGCCAGTACAGACCACGCCAGATCCCTGACGGGAGGGATTAGACTTTGGGGTGTGTGGTTGACTATGGTGGCTGGACAAGGAGACTGCTGATTGATGCCCCCCCGGAAGGGGGTGTGGAAAGACAGAGGGGCACTGCCGGAGGGCAGTGGTCCTGAAGAGGACGGCGTGAGTTGGTGAGCGACGTGGGCTCAGACACGCCAACCGAGGGCGAGACGACGGACGGGACACCACCAGGAGGGGCGCTCCACTGGACTGAGCTAATTCCCGGAACAACCAGTAGGAGGCGCTGCGGTGGTGAGTCCCAACCCCGTTACACCGCCCCTGTTGGTCGTAATACCTATTTCGTTGAGTATACGGAGGGGGTCGGAACTCATTGAGGAGTTTGGTAATTGGTCTGCTGTCTTTTGTTCCTAGGTGTGTGGATGCCCAGAGACCACAAGGTGGCCCTTGAGTCCTTCAGGGTATGCAATGACTCGTCCATCTTGTCTGCAGAGTTTGGTGCCTTTGAACAGTAAGTCTTCTACAGTGGACTGCACTGGCTTTGGCAAACCAGACAGATGAAGCCAGGAGGCTCTCCTCATAACAATCGCTGTTGCTATGGATTTCACTGTGGAATCAGTGTAGTCAAGGGCAGCTTGTAGCACTGTTCTGGTGATAAGGTGGCCCTCTGAGATGAGTGCTATGTACTGATCCTTTTGGTCTTCTGGAATAAAGTTTATATATTCTGAGACACTTGCGTAATTATTGTGATTGTACTTTGTCAGTAGGGCCAAGGTTACAGCAGAGTATGCTTTGCGGCTGAACAGGTCGAGCCGTTTCCATTCTTTATCATACAGGGTGTTTCTATAATATTGTTGCTTACCCCATTCATTCACCGCGTCGATTAACCAGAAAATTCAGCATTGGATGTGAGAAAAGGAATTCAGTGCCCTTGGCTGGCACGTAATACTTCTTATCAGACCTGATAAGTTCGACTCGTTGGTGGAATTGTTGCTGGGGTTTGCCAAAGCAACTTCACGGATCTATAATCACACCATTCATGGGAAGGGCAGTGGTTTGAGCATTGGCATGCTAAACCCAGGGTTGTGAGTTCAATCCTTGAGGGGGCCATTTAGGGATCTGGGGCAAAAATCTGTCAGGGACGGTACTTGGTCCTGCTGTGAAGGCAGGGGACTGGACTTGATGACCTTTTAATGTCCCTTCCAGTTCTATGAGATAGGACGTGTGTAATATGTCCACTAGCTTGTGGCGAGATTCCTGGACCTCTTTCAGAGAGATGTCTAGGGAAGTGACCCCTCTTGTAGAGATCCTGAAACTGCCTGAAATCGTCCGCTGTGGTGGAAGATGGAGGCATAATTGTGTCATCTGGTGAGGAAGATAAAAATTGAATGCCAGTTGGTTCGTCTGGGTCTGAGAATTCCTCCTGTTCTTCGGCCCCTTGTTCAGAGATGGCAGAAGGTGCTTTGGATGGCAATATGAGTGGTTGAGGCGCACCAGTTGCGGGCAAAGTGGGGGTACTCCCTGTTTTTGCTGTTGTGGATATGGAGCCCATGGCTGCCAGAATGGCCATTGCGGTTGGACGGGCATCATGGGCATCCAGGATTGGCCGTACCAGGGTTGGTTCATAAAGTTTGCAGGGAAGCCCGTGCTTGGTGGGGCCTGTGTGGCAGGAATAGCCACAGGAGAGGAATGCTGTGGCGAGTGTCCTATATCCTCCTCTCCATCGTCCTCCCCACTAGAGAATTGTGTTGAAAGCTGTGGAGAGCTGGGTTGGCTAAGTACCGTGTGTACCACAGTACCGTTGATGCTGAGGAGAGGAGACTGCGGTACCAATGAGACAGATAAGTCTGTGTTACACAGGAACTTCTGTGACATGCCTGGTCTTGGTACCGGTGGGATGGTGGAGCTCGGTACCATGTGCTGTCGTGTGCTTATCGGCACAGGTGTGTGGCTGGAGTCCATAGTACCAGCAGTAGGTGGCAGCATTAGCGTTGGAATGCTCAGTACCAATGGCTTGTTTGCTGTTGCCGGTGCCGTGGCATAGGGTTTCACTTTCCCCTTAACATCTGTGGCGGAGCTCGACTGCCTAGGAGCTCTAGGTTTCTTAGTACAGTCGGTACCGGAGGTACCTGGTCTGTTGGCTGTTGATATGGCCGGTGCAGTCGGTACTGGGAGCGTTTGGCCGCTATTGGAGCGCGTTTTCTTGGCTGACTCCAGAGTCGGGGATGTGATGCCCCATTTCTTTTCTGCCTTCTTGACAGGTTGTTCAGGATCTTTTCCCTTGGAAGAGGGGCCTTTGTCTGAGGTGGCAGTTGGCTATTTCTGCCAGGAGGGGTTCGTACCTCAGGCTTAGACGCCAGGTGTAGAAATTTCTCCATGAGGAAAAGCTTTAGCTGTAAATCTCTGGCCTTTTTTGTGTGGGCTTTCAAGTTGTGACAGTGTGAGCACTTTTGTGGTATATGTCCCTCACCAAGACACCGGACGCATTGAGAGTGTCTGTCTGAGACAGGTATTGAAAGCCAGCAGGTAGTGCAGCGTTTGAATCCTGGAGAGCCAGGCATGCCCCTGAGGGAGCATGTTGTCTCAGTAATATGGAGAGATAGAAGACTATAGCGCTGGTGCGATCGGGGAGAACGGAAATTTATGGTCCTATGAAGAATTTATTTTTTTTAAAGGACAGGGATAAGGTAGGAAGGGAAATTAGTCTATTGTATTCTATCTAAGAACTACAAACTGCGGCTAAAGGAAAAGGATTATTTCTAGCTGCGAGGCATTGCTGAGTGCTCCAACTCGAGCCAATGGTGGTAGAGAAGGAACTGGGGGCGGGGGAGGGGTTGGTTGCACAGCTCCAGTTAACCATCTGAAGCGGAGCGAGACGGGGACTGCCCAACCGGGCATTGCTATCATAAATCTCTGGCTCCGACTGCAGGGGCGCAACAACAGCTAAAGTGGAGCACCCACAGGGACACCACTTGAAGAAAAAGAGAAGATTACATTATGTTTGGATTCTCACTCATGCATTCACCTCCATTCAGAGTGTGGAGATTATCTTTATTCATGTTTTTTCTCTACTTGAAACTTATTTCAGCTTGGAAAAAAGATGACTAAGGGGGGATATGATGGAGGTCTATAAAATTATGACTGGTGTGGAGAAAGTAAATAAGGAAGTGTTATTTACTCCTTCTCATAACACAAGAACTAGGGGTCATCAAATGAAATTAATAGGCAGCAGATTTAAAACAAACAAAAGGAAGTAGTTTTTTTTCCACACAACGCCCAATCAACCCATGGAACTCTTTGCCAGAGGATGTTGTGAAGGCCAAGACTATAACATAGGGTTACCATACGTCCGGATTTTCCCGGACATGACCGGCTTTTTGGTCCTCAAATTTTACATCTTATTTGGAGCCTGAATTTGTCTAGCTTCAACTTCAAGCCATTGAATGATGTTATACCTTTCCCTACCAGATTGAAGAGCTCATTATTCCCCATGTAGGTACTTATAGATTGTGATCAAATCACCCCCTAACCTTCTCCTTGTTAAATACATTGAGCAATTTAATCATTCTCATGGCTTACCTCTGAACCCTCTCCAATTTATCAACATCCTTCTTGAACTATGGACTTCAGAACTGGATACAATATTCCCACAAAAAGAACAGGAGTACTTGTGGCACCTTAGAGACTAACAAATTTATTTGAGCATAAGCTTTCGTGGGCTACAGCCCACTTCATCAGATGCATGCAGTGGAAAATACAGTAGGAAGATAGATAGATATATATACACACAGAGAACATGAAACAATGGGTGTTACCATACACACTATAACGAGAGTGATAAGTTAAGATGAGCTTTTATCAGCAGGAGAAGAACAGCACGAACTGTTTGTAGTGGTAATGAAAATGGCCCATTTCCAGCAATTGACAAGAAGATATGAGGAACTGGCGGGGGGGGAATAAGCATGGGGAAATAGTTTTACTTTGTGTAATGGCCCATCCACTCCCGGTCTTTGTTCAAGCCTAATTTAATGGTGTCCAATTTGCAAATTAATTCCAATTCAGCAGTCTCTCGTTGGAGTCTGTTTTTGAAGGTTTTTTGTTGTAATATTGCGACTTTTAGGTCTGTAATCGAGTGGCCAGGGAGATTGAAGTGTTCTCCAACTGGTTTTTGAATGTTATAATTCTTGACTATTCCCACAGTGCCACATACAGAGGTAAAATATCCTCTCTACTCCTACTTGAGATTCCCCTATTTAGGCATCCAAGGATCACATTAGCCCTTTTGGCCAGAGCATTACACTGGGAGCTCAGCTGATTATCCGTCATGATGGCCGAATCTTTTTCAGAGTCACCACTTCCCGGGATAGAGTCCCCCATCAGGTAAGTATGGCCTACATTCTTTATTTCTAGATTTATACATTTACATTTAGCAATATTAAAACACATAGTGTTTGCTTGCACCCAGCTTACCAAGCCATCCAGACTGCTCTGTAGCAGTGACCTGTCCTCCTCAACATTTACCACTCTTCCTGTTGTGTCATCTTCAAACTTTATCATTGCCGATTTTATGTTCTTTTCTCCATTATTGATAAAAAAAGTGTTAAATAACATAGGGACAAGAACGGATCCCTGCAGGACCCCACTAGAAGCATACCCACTCTAGGATGATTTCTCATTTACAATTATATTTTAAGAACTAATCAGTTAGCCAGCTTTTAATCTGTTTAATGTGCACCATGTTAAGTTTATATCATTCCACTTTTTGAATCAAATGTTGTGAAGTACCAAGCCAAATGCCTTAAAAAAGTCTATTACATTAACAGTATTACTTTATCAACCCAACTTGTAATCTCATGAAAAAGGATGTCAGGTTAGTTTGACAGGATCTATTTTCCATAAATCCATGTTAATGGGCATTAATTATATTGCCCTCCTCTAATCTTTATTAATCAAGTCCTGTATCAGTCAGTCCATTATCTTGCCCAGGATCAAAGATAGTCTGACAGGCCAATAATCAACTGGGTCATCCCATTTTCCCTTTTTAAGTACTGGCACAACATTAGCTTTATTCCAGTCTTTTGGAACTTCCTCAGTGTTCTAAGACATATTGAAAATCAACATGTGTGGTTCACCGCATTACTCAGCCAGCTCTCTTAAAACTGTTCCATGCAAGTTATCTGGACCTGCTGATTTTAAAATGTCCAACATTCATCAACTGAATGATATATTTATATTTCTAACCAATAACTAAGGAGAACAATTCACATCCTAATGCATAAATCAAACTTCAATGCTGCATATATATTTTTACTGGGCAACTTAAGTGCAGATGGATCACTACTAAAATAATTTATAAGTATCACATTATAATTAGAAAAATTACTTACTTTTGCTGTGTCTGCAACAAAATAACACTCTAAATATCTGGTAGATGTGTACAAAGTGTTTAGTTCATGTTTCTGGAAGAAAAGACATGTAAAGCAGGGCTATGTAAAGTAAATTGATGTGTTTAACTGCATGAAGAATCACAGAAATACAATCCTGAACCATACCCTTCTGTATTATGTCACCCACACAAAGGGAAAATCTTAACAGAATTATAATTTTTTGACAGGGTAACAAGTGTTGTGGATGGGGGGAAGCAGTAGATGTGGTATACCTTGACTTTAGTAAGGCTTTTGATACTGTCTCACATGACCTTCTCATAAACAAACTAGGGAAATACAACCTAGATCATGCTACTACAAGATGGGTGCATAACTAGTTGGAAAATCATTCCCAGAGAGTAATCAGTGGTTCACAATCAAGCTGGAAGGGCACATTGATTGGGATCCTGCTATTGCTCTGGATTTGAGGGATGTGTGCCCCCCAGGTTTGATCAAGCTAATTGCAATCATATTGTGTGTATTCAGCCACCATGAATTAATAAAATAGAACACCACATAGTTAAGGGTTAATTGGAATAAGCAGGGCTTCTGGAGGCAAGGTCAAAATTAGCTATAGGCTTGCAGTTTCTGTGAACCAGAATGGGAGGAGGGGAGAAGAGAGTCAACACATTGACACTGAAAGAAAATAAGTGGATGGAGACCTTGGATTTGGGTGCCTTATAACTAAGATTGTTAGCAATGTTTGTTGATAAGTAGTTTATTGAAGTTAGGAGAGGTGGGGACCCAGTAGGGGGTCACGCTGAACTCTATGTTTTGTAAAAGTTATCTATAAAAAGACTAGATAATAGAGTGTACTGGGGAGCAGTTCTCTGAAGCTATCCTGAGAGATTTTTTCCTGCCACCTTTCTCTCCGGCGGGGAATCAACCAGCCATTGTGGACCTGCTGTCAATTACTCAATCCCGTCTCAAATTCTAGGCACTTATTTGGGATGTTCTAAACCTATTGCTTATGTCTGTGTGTGATTAAATCTAACAAATTATAGTTTTAGATAAGAACACGCTTACTTGTATTAATTTTCATCAGTGCTGTGTTCCCATTGATTTATTCCTGACACCACCTGGAGTGAAATAGTTAAGTTACCACTGCTTTTGGTTCTGAAAACCCTGAGTAACACAACAGGGATCAGTTCTGAGTTCTGTTCAATATCTTCATCAATGGTTTAGATAATGGCATAGAGAGAACAGTTATAAAGTTTGTGGATGATACCAAAATGGGAGTGTAGTGAGGCCAAGTGGCCCTCCTCTGAGCAGGAGAGCGAGGCACCATTACATGCCCCTTGGAGGGCGGAGCCTATATTGCCCCCTCCCCCTTTGCCGGAAGTACCGGGGCGTGGCCGGAAGTAGAAAAGGCCGGCCCTGCAGCACAGTTGCGGGGGAGCCTGTGGAGGAGAAGGATGCTCTGCCGGTTCGGCTGTGTCCCCGAGAGGAACCCTCGCCGAGCGGTGCCCCATCCACAGATGCCGATGAGGACTGGCCCGGAGTGCCTGTTGCCGTCTACCCGAGGAGCCGGAAGAGAACTGGAGGCTAGAGGTACCGAACCCTGGGATGGCAGGAAGTAGCCCAGGGGCAGCCACGGAGCAGCCAGCTGCCAAGTCAGCTGCAGCTCAGTCGGCGTGTTGCAGCTGGATCCCCGCCGATGCAGGGGCAACCAATCCTGCCTCTGCCAGGGCCCTGGGCTGGAATGCGGTGGAGTAGGGTGGGCCCACGTCCCCCTGCCACCTCACCTGGGGTGGCTGACTCCTTACACTGGGCAGGGAAGTTCTAGCCCTGAGGAAGGAGCCTCCCTTACCAGCTCACCTGTAGACTGTTCATTTGCTGGCTGCCTGAGCCCCGCCTAGGCTAAAGCCAGACTTAAGACTGTTGCTTGCTGGCAACCTAAGCCTACTCAAGCTCAGGCCCAGCTCACTGAGAGACTCTCTGTTCGCTGGCTGCCTGAGCTCCGCCCCGGCTAAAGCCAGCCCCGAAGGACTGTTTGTTTGCTGGCCGCCTGAGCTCCGCCCAGGCCAAAGCCAGTCCTGATAGACTGTTTTGTTGCTGGCTGCCTGAAGCTCTTCAAACCCAGGCCCCAGCCCTGATAGACTGGTTTGGTTGCTGGCTGCCAGAGCTCCACCCAGGCCAAAGCCAGCCCAGATAGGCTCTGTTTAAGGGTTGACTGCTTGAGTTACCCAAACCCAGGCTAAAGCCTGACAGGGACTATTACTCGCCCAGCCATATTGTGGGCAATTGGCTGTCTCACAGACTCTGGTCCTGGCCCGACAGGACCAGCCTGAGTGGCCTCCCTCTGAGCGGGAGAGCGAGGGACCATTACAGGGAGGGACTGCAAGAGCTTTGGAAAATAGGATTAAAATTCAAAATGATCTGGACAAACTGGAGAAATGGTCTGAAGGAAATAGGATGAAATTTTTAATAAGGTCAAATGCAAAGTACTCCAATTAGGAAGGAACAACCAGTTGCACACATACAAAATGGGAAATGACTGCCTAGGAAGGAGTACTGCAGAAAAGGATCTGGGAGTCATAGTAGATCACAAGCTAAATATGAGTGAACAGTGTAACACTGTTGCAAAAAAAGCAAACATCATTCTGGGATGTATTAGCAGGAGTGTTGTAAGCAAGATATGAGAAGTAATTCTTCTGCTCTACTCTACACTGATTAGGCCTCAACCTGAGTACTGTGTCCAGTTCTGGACACCACATTTCAGGAAAGATGTGGACAAATTGGAGAAATTCCAGAGAAGAGCAACAAAAAAGGACTAAAGGTCTAGAAAACATGACCTATGAGGGAAGATTGAAAAAACTGGATTTGTTTAGTTTGGAGAAGAGAAGACTGAGAGGGGACATAATCACAATTTTCAAGTACATAAAAGGTTGTTACAAGTAGGAAGGAGAACAATTTTTTTCTCCTTAACCTCTGATGATAGGACAAGAAGCAATTGGCTTAAATTGCAGGAAGGGTGGTTTACGTTGGACATTAGGAAAAACTTCCTAACTTTCAGGATGGTTAAGCACAAGTTAACCTAGGGAGGTTGTGGAATCTCCATCATTGGAGATTTTTAAGAGCAGGCTTGACAAACACCTGTTAGGCATGGTCTAGATAATACTTAGTCCTGCCATGAGTTCAGAGAACAGGACTAGATGACCTTTCAAGGTCTGTTCCTGTCCTATGATTCTATTATTCTATCATTCTCCAGAATACAATTTTCTTGGCACCAACACTCTGAATTTGAAAATAATTGCATGAAGCTAACTGACAGTGATGGGTAAGTGCTACTATAAAAGTATAATCATATTCCTTTGCTAATGGACTTCTTTAGAGCAGTGGTTCTTTATGTTTTTCTGCTGGGAAACCAAAACTACTGTAACCCATTGAATCCCACAATCCTTCATGCAGAAAAGGACTGAAGTCCCAGTGGGAAGTTGCTTTTTAGCTCCTAAAACTGGGTGAAGGCTGGATGTGGTGCTGGTGGGTCAGCATTCCTGGTTTGGCCTGAGGGCCCCAACCAGGACCCTCTGCCTTGTCCTCTCACATAAGCCCCCTCATTCTTGGGTTTTGGTCAGCCTCTGTCGGGGAGGGAGGGTCTTTGTTCCACAGCTGCTGGAGTTCTCCAAACCATCTCCAGTCTTGTCCCAGTATTACTGGGTAGATCAAGGTGGTCACTAAGCTGACTCTACAAGCCTCAGAGTGGCCCTCCACTCCCAGTTGCACTTTTGTCATTGGGCAGGGCAGCACTACATCTGGAGTCCACCAACCCCATTATTTTGGTGCCATTGACCCATACTGGTAGCAACATCTTAGCAACATCTTAGCTGGGCCCTGTTTCCGAGTTGGGTGCTTGCCATTAATGCCTGCCCATAACTGAAGTCCATGAAGTGGCACTCCCACCTGAAACACCCCTGCCGTCCACACTCAAAGCACTTGCCCTTTGGGATCACTGTTGCCTGGCCCACCTCCAGTGCAGTGGATCCCCCTGAAGAGGTGTATCCCCCTCTTTGGAGCACTGGTTCCCCCTCCCTTCTGCCTCTGTAGTTAGGTCTCTCCCTGCGGCCAGAGGCATCTCCTAGGATTACATGTGATTTAGCTGTTCTCAAACTTCCCTCCTAGCCCAGCCCCTGCTATGGGTCAGAATCTTGATTCCAGGAGCACTGCCCTTGGTGTCAGTGTGGCCGGCCTCTCAGTAGACGTGTAGTTCTCCAATAGGGTCATGAGCTCTGCCAAGGTCGATGGCAGATGGCGCTTCACCCACTCCTTCACCACAATTGAGAGAATATGGATGAACTGTCCTAACACAATAATTTCCAACACCTGCACTCCAGTCTGTTTTTCTGGATGTAACCAGTGCCAACACTGGTCCTTCAGACATTTGGCCACCATGCAGGACCAGGTATCTCTCTTTGAGAACCCTTCAGTGGAACATCTTGGGGTTGATATCTAGGTAGTCACGTATGGCTGCTTTTACCTTGGTGTAGTCTAGTGCTTCAGCAGGGTCCAAGCTCCAATAGGACGCTTGCACAGGGCAGGTTAAGTATGGGATTATCAGAGTGGTACAATGTTCTAGTGGCCAATGTGCCAGGATGGCCACCCATTCAAAGATGATCAGGAAGGCTTCGGAGTCATCTCCAAGGCCCATTTTTGTGAGCCAGATGGGCAGCTCGGTGGAGAGGGCATCTCCCACAGATCCAGGAGCTGTGATGTGGATGCCCCCTGGGGCTGTTAAATCATCACCTACTCGATCCAGTGTTCTTGTTGTCCCTGGTGCTGGACCGCCAGTTCCTGAATTAGCTCTTGTTGCTGGACAGCAATCTGTTGTAGTATGTGCCCTTGCTATTGCTGGTTCTCCAAAATTCATTTCAGCAGCTTTTCTGTAACCCTGGCCTTTTTAGGGTCATTCAATTGGTGGCCCAGTGGTCCTTTTAAGAGGACATGGATGTTGCTCATGTTCTCCACCGTGTGTTGGAGAGGGTGGGTTTGGGTCTGATCTCAGCAGCATCACCTGGTGACTCTGGGTTATGACACCCAGCAGTGAGCATCAATGGCCGGGAATAAGGGAATCCAGGCCCTCCCTGCTCTACCGGGTTCCAACCCAGGGCTCAATGAAGCAGTAAGTCCAAAATGAGCAGCCTAGGGGATGGATGCCTCTATGCCTGATCCCTGGGCAACTTTCTATCCTGGCTTCTGTTCCTCTGTTGGTGTCGCTGGTTTGCCTCTGAGTCCCTCCTGGAGTTCTCCTGTCTGTGCTCCAAAGGGTCTTCCTCTCGTAGTGACACCTCGTCATTGCTGATCTCTGTGATTGAAAGGCCTGTAGTGGCGTGGCATGGAGGACTGGGCCCATCTGCGTGGGGTGTCCATGGATTTTTGGCTGGAGGCTGCAACATACAACTGCTCACCTGCTCCGTCCGCTCAGACTGAATTAAACTGCTCCCTTTTGAGCTCAGCGTCCACTGTGAGCATGCCCACCAGGGACAGCCTGGTGGCATTTTCTGGGCCTAGAGCTGCTCCTTAACCCTTACTTCTCCAGTGTGGAGTTCGCAGACCCCATCACAGTACCCCACTGAGGCCCAAACTGTGGTCTTCCAGGGGAGTGAGGAGACTTAGGTGTGGGTAGGAGAAGGGACAGCAGAGAATTTTAGCTATTAAAAAGGGTTTACCCCAGGAGATTGCATATGCCAGGGCAATTTCTTTCAGCCAGTGTCTAACCAGATGTCCCACAGACTTTAACCTTTTCCTTGGTTTCAAATTTTCTGTCTTTCCCAGGGACTGATTATTGGATGGTTGAGGATCTGGTTCCTAGCAGGGTCTGGTGTAGACTCAGTCTTTCATGTAGGAGGGAGCCTTCTGAGATATAAGGTAGCTTCTGCCCAGCCTGGGTTATCTCCACAGCTAGGGGAGACAGGCACTGGAGAACAGTGGCCTTAACTCACCTACCTGCTCCCAGTGCACTCCCTCTCACTTAGACCCATTGGTCAAGATTCAAGGAGGAGGAGAAAGGTGTGACAGATCAACTACCCCACTATCCTTTCTTCCCCACAGTGTCAGGCCTTGCCTAAGTGAAACAGATGGGGTGGGGGGGGAAGGCATGACCTTCTTCTGCCAGATGGAGGTGGAATACTGGATTTTATCTGATCCTGAAAAAAATAAAAGGCAAAGCAGATCTGACAAAATTTCCAGAAAGAAATCAGCAAAGGGAAATAGAGCAGGGACTATCATCTGGGGCATTTAGGCACACATGTTGAGTACATTCCACGATGCTGACAAACTACTTGCTTCACAATCAATAGATAGGAATGGTTTTAGTTACCAGACTTACGGATGGATAAACTCAGGAGGAACAGAATTAGTTTGTTCCTTTGACTACAAAGTGAATTTCCAGCACAAATGAGATCACTTCCAACAATGAGTTAGAAAAATGTGCCTAACATGCATGGATTAGTAAGTTTTACATCGGGATAGTGAATTATATTTTGTCAAGGCCCAAATTTCTTGGTCCAGGTATAGTCAAGGTCCAGACTCCAGAGAAAATAATAAATAATAATAATATTAATTATTATTATTAAGTAAAAAAAAGATTTTGTGGTCCATTCAAGAGCACCTGGTGGTCCGGATTTGGCCTGTGGTCTGCCTATTGACTACCCCTGTTCTACATAATACCTATTTACTTTATGTGAACCCATATAAAACACTTACATCTACTACAAGCTGTCTCTCCATCTGAACCTTAGATATTTGATGGTCTCTGCCTTTAGCGGCTTGATCTTTCATATCTTCATCTGTTACTCCACATCGACCAGGTGAGTCTTCATCAGCTGCCATTCGATAAATAATGTGTTGAAACGTAGAGGAAGATTTAACAGGTTCAATTTCATAGTTTAAATCGGAAATCATCAAATGTCCCCTGAGAATTGCAAAATTGAAATGTGATTTAGAGATTTGAGAAAACTGAAAAATTCTGCAAAAATATTAGAGCTGGTCAGGAATTTTACATTTGAATTATTTATTATGTATTTTCTAGTTTTTCTAGAACTTTTACTAAACTATCCTCCTTTGTCTCCTGAAAGGAAAGTGCTATTGAGGGGAAAACGTTTCCGATTTACAATTGAATACCAGTGTTCTTGGTAACACAGTCACCTTTGAAAGGCACAATTACAAGCTCAAAAGGCCCCAAATGGCCATCATGCCACAGATCAGTCATCACTGCACTACCTACTGTTTTACAATCTATAAAATAAAATAAAAAATTAAGATTACACACTTGTGATTCTAGCCCGCAGTAACAGCAAATGACCCTTATCAACTGGTTAGCATGAAAACTGCATTAGGAAAAGGTAAAAGGGCACTAACCTAGTTATTCTGCTATGTTAAATCTACCTTCCCGTTTTAGAAGAAAATTCATAATGTTTGCAATCTAGCAATAACTGAGGAGCATACATTACCAGAGTCCAGAGCAGGTGCTGAGGACTGCAACAGATTCTGGGACATCCTCCACATATCCAGAGTAGTAGCAATCATCCTGCAAGGTCCAAAACCATGTTTTTCCTTTCTATCATTAATGCTAGTAGAATAGAATACTGTAGCAGATACTAGTTACATGAAATTAAATATACACAATGCAAAGACTAAATGTTATTGCATCTGGTCTCAAAATGGGGTTCTAATATGAAAAAGGAGTGTACGAATGACACCTTTTCACTCAGCAGATCTGTTCTCCTTTGTATTCGGATCTGCTGACTTTGGTGTCAAAACCAAGTTTTGCTGCTTTTCACTCATGTCAATAGTGCAGAGATAATGCAGCTGAGACTGAGTGAGCTTCAAAGAGAGGTTCTCAAATATTACACCTTTCACACAATGAATTCCTAATACCTTACTATTCACGCTTCTGCTACCTTACTATCAGCAACTACTTGAAGACTTATTAACAGAAAAGGAGACCTACTGGAAATGACATGAATTTTTCTAATACAATTATGACCAGAGAAAGTGAAGGAAGAGGGATGAATCAGACTCAGTATATAATACCCAAACTATGTAACCTTGCTTCACCTGCTTCTTCAAGAGGTGTAGGAAAGAGTACAGGTTTATATGAAAATCTGACACCATCTGTAACAAGCTTCTGATATATAGGAGTTTTGGCAAGAAACTGAAGTGAAAATGCAGTCTTACTTGTGTATATTCTTCCAAGGAGCCTCTATGTCCAGACACGGGGCTCTTCCCCTTCTCCCCACCAACTGGAGGCAGACGAATTCCAGAACAATATTATTTTTCCTCTTTAGAAGACAACTACATTAAAGTTAAATACTATTTGGTTCCAATCATTTCCAACAGAGCCTTAATAAGAGATTAGGGGATACTTCTTTAGAAAATAAACCAATCTTCTCCTTCAAATTACTTAATAAATGAGTGTATCCTCAAAGGGAGAGTCAGATTGTCAGATGTGGGGAATCCTAGAAAGAATACTCACAAGCAGGACTGAAGTTTCTGATTGTTTATACTGCAGGAGGGCCTAAATACCCAGAGCATGATCAGGGCCCCATTGTGAATATACTGTTGTAATACTTGGACACAACAGACCTACTCCAGTATGTAAAGCATAGGAGAGCAGAGATCATACAAAACATGCAGTGTACCTGTCTCAGTTTCCTTACCATATCAGGGCATTCTTTGGGATGATGCAAGAGTCAATTGGGTTGCCCAGAGTTCTTGGGGCTATCTGGGCTGAGAAAAGTAGGCAGGGCCGCCCTGTACCATAGGGCTCCAACAAATTGTGTGATTTTCCTCTCTCCTGATCCCAAAGCTTCCTCTTTGTCTGGCTCTCCCTGTTTCTGTGTGGCTCACTATTTTAAACCCCCTTGGATTCCCTTAGTATTTCTGCCTGGTGTGTACCTGCTACAGGACCTGTCAGCAATGATGGATCCACATGCATATAGGCACTCATGATACAGCAGGTTTTCATAGTACAATTTCCCAGGATGAACCAGAATTCCTACGCTGTACAGACATACTCCCAGTCCATCACATTTCTCCCTTGGAATCAAGCAGGAATACTTGACTAGTACTCCGGGGATGTTTTGGCATCTCACCTTTAGACAACACATCTTCTGTTATTACTTATTAATTCAAACTTAATACATGCATTCAGTCATAAAACAATTCCAACGATCGTACCAAAATACAATTTCATGAAAACATCATAGGTAGGCTCCTACCTACATTGTATAAATCTCCACCCTTATTATACCAGGGAAGGGGAAACTAGCTGCAGAGTTGGCAGGCCCCCCATATGCTAGTCACCCCAGTATTTCTGATTGGTTTGGGTGGTTCCAAGAATCATAGAATCATAGAATATCAGGGTTGGAAGGGACCTCAGGAGGTATCTAGTCCAACCCCCTGCTCAAAGCAGGACCAATTCCCAACTAAATCATCCCAGCCAGGGCTTTGTCAAGCCGGGCCTTAAAAACCTCCAAGGAAGGAGACTCCACCACCTCCCTAGGTAAAGCATTCCAGTGCTTCACCACCCTCCTAGTGAAATAGTGTTTCCTAATATCCAACCTAGACCTCCCCCACTGCAACTTGAGACCATTGCTCCTTGTTCTGTCATCTCCCACCTCTGAGAACAGCCGAGCTCCATCCTCTTTGGAACCCCCCTTCAGGTAGTTGAAGGCTGCTATCAAATCCCCCCTCATTCTTCTCTTCTGGAGACTAAACAATCCCAGTTCCCTCAGCCTCTCCTCATAAGTCATGCGCTCCAGACCCCTAATCATTTTTGTTGCCCTCCGCTGGACTCTTTCCAAGTTTTCCACATCCTTCTTGTAGTGTGGGGCCCAAAACTGGACACAGTACTCCAGATGAGGCCTCACCAATGTCGAATAAAGGGGAATGATCACATCTCTCGATCTGCTGGCAATGCCCCTACTTATACAGCCCAAAATGCCGTTAGCCTTCTTGGCAACAAGAGCACACTGTTGACTCATATCCAGCTTCTCGTCCACTGTGACCCCTAGGTCCTTTTCTGCAGAACTGCTACCTAGCCATTCGGTCCCTAGTCTGTAGCTGTGCATGGGATTCTTCCGTCCTAAGTGCAGGACTCTGCACTTGTCCTTGTTGAACCTCATCAGGTTTCTTTTGGCCCAATCCTCTAATTTGTCTAGGTCCCTCTGTATCCGATCCCTACCCTCTAGTGTATCTACCACGCCTCCTAGTTTAGTGTCATCGGCAAACTTGCTGAGAGTGCAGTCCACACCATCCTCCAGATCATTAATAAAGATATTAAACAAAACCGGCCCCAGGACCGACCCTTGGGGCACTCCGCTTGAAACTGGCTGCCAACTAGACATGGAGCCATTGATCACTACCCGTTGAGCCCGACGATCTAGCCAGCTTTCTATCCACCTTACAGTCCATTCATCCAGCCCATACTTCTTTAACTTGGCAGCAAGAATACTGTGGGAGACCGTATCAAAAGCTTTGCTAAAGTCAAGGAATAACACATCCACTGCTTTCCCCTCATCCACAGAGCCAGTTATCTAATCATAGAAGGCAATTAGGTTAGTCAGGCACGACTTCCCCTTGGTGAATCCATGCTGACTGTTCCTGATCACCTTCCTCTCCTCTAAGTGTTTCATAATTGATTCCTTGAGGACCTGCTCCATGATTTTTCCAGGGACTGAGGTGAGGCTGACTGGCCTGTAGTTCCCCGGATCCTCCTTCTTCCCTTTTTTAAAGATGGGCACTACATTAGCCTTTTTCCAGTCATCCGGGACCTCCCCTGATCGCCATGAGTTTTCAAAAATAATGGCTAATGGCTCTGCAATCTCATCCGCCAACTCCTTTAGCACCCTCGGATGCAGCGCATCCGGCCCCATGGACTTGTGCACGTCCAGTTTTTCTAAATAGTCCCGAACCACTTCTTTCTCCACAGAGGGCTGGTCACCTTCTCCCTGTATTGTGCTGCCCAGTGCAGCAGTCTGGGAGCTGACCTTGTTTGTGAAGACAGAGGCAAAAAAATCATTGAGTACATTAGCTTTTTTCACATCCTCAGTCACTAGGTTGCCTCTCTCATTCAGGAGCCTTGGGTCTCTTTCTGTGAGAAGAGTGGTCCTGGTGCTGGGGCGAGGTAGAAGCTACTCACTTTCCCCCAAGCCCAGTCCTCTTCTACACACCTCCTGGGGAGAGGTGAGGTGTGTTTCTTCCTCCATCTACCTCAAGTTTAATTACATCATGACCATATAACCTGAAGCCATAGATTAAGGGGAACGTTTCCACCTCCTTTCCATCTACATTACACCAGTGGTTGCTTCACATACCTCTGATGCTTTTCCCACCCTCTGGTGAGTATCATGAATTTGGCAGCACTTTTTACTACTCTCAGTCCTGCTCGTTCCAGGGGAGTTCAGACGCATGACACCTTTTGTCTGTGCTTGAGTTTCCCTTTTCCTGAGGAGTTTTGAATCACAGACTTTTCAGCTGTGCCATAGTCTTCTCTGCTCCTAGAGGAGGTCTGGCCCAGAGCATCTCCTAGCTGTACCAGTATCCCACTGCTCCCTGCTGAAATCTGGGCCACAGACACAGTCATCATTGATTTAGTTTCCCAGGTGAGGTTGGAAAGAGATCTCTTCCCTGAGCCACTGAGTCTGGCCTTAACGGTTTGCATCTGAACCTTCAGAGATTAATTTTATTACATCATCACACAGATTAACACATCAAGTGAAATAACCTCCCATGGTTAACCCAGAACATCTTTTGGTGTCCATATTGACTCAGGCTAAAGGAAAAGTGATGGGAAAGGAAAAGAAAAACCCTACCCCCATCTGATTGCCTATTAGCACCTGTTTAGGCATGTCATGTATCCTTCTTCCTTGGTCCCAGGGGCATGACTTGTCTCTGTTCTCCTATTTGAGCCAGCTGAGTTTGACCTGGTCAACAAACTTCTGTTCAATTCGATCTGCTCTTTCTGATACTTGGGCCATCAGCTCCAACTATCTCTTCTCCAAGAACATTCATTTCCACTCCAGCCTCCACAGCTCTGGACCTCTTGCCCTTTCTGCTACATCTGCTGAATCATCAGAGGAACAGCCTCTGGCACTATCTCTTTGGTCAACTGCCTGCCCTGCAGAAGAAAAAGGGAGCCCTTCCTGCCTAAGGCCTGGAGCTAGTGCCCCATCCTGCCTCAAGGCATGAGCACAGCATGGTCACCTACTCAGATTTCTTCTGATTCTCAGGGCTTGTCTATAGTTACCGCGCTGGTTCGGCGGCAGGCAATCAAACTTCTGGGTTCGATTTATCGCGTCTTGTCTGGACGCGATAAATCGAACCCAGAAATGCTCGCCGTCGACTCCGGTAATCCTGCTCGGCGCGAGGAGTACGTGGAGTCGACGGGGGAGCCTGCCTGCTGCGTCTGGACCGCGGTAAGTTCGAACTAAGGTACGTCGACTTCAGCTACGTTATTCACGTAGCTGAAGTTGCATACCTTAGTTCGAATTGGGGGGTTAGTGTAGACCAGGCCTCAGCAGTGCA